TTTTTTTTTTTTTTTTTTTTTTTTTTTTTTTTTTTTTTTTTTTTTTTTTTTACAATTTTGGCTTTTCTCTGTACGCGCATATCACGGCTAATCCGACACGCTGCTTGGGCATATCGGCAACGCGAAACAAAAAAACACCCTACAAATTGGCCTCTAGGGGATCGGTTAAAAAGGTATTGCCTAACATAAGGGTTTTTTTTTCTCTTCAGGCCTATTCTTACTGGTGACACGCAAATTAAACAATGGCGTTTTACAAGTGATGACCTATAACATGGTATGAGCGGCGGAATGGCCATTCCCTCTGTTCGGTTGTACGCCCAGCAAACAGGGGTAGGCCTATACGCACGAGCCGCTGCTCAGGCACGCCACAAACGCAATAGTGGTGCCATTGCGTGGGGGTACACACGGGTTGGCCTTCTTAAGGAAAAATAGTGTGAATATATTACTGTTGATTATGGTTCTGATTATCAAATGCTAACTTGGCGCCGAGGTGAAAAATGAAAAAAATTCCTGTAGAAAAAATAGTATATCATTTTTGGCATGCCAAGTGACATACACGGCAATTTACGCTGCTGGTAGCAAGTCGCCTCTTTCTGCGTGGCATATAATGTATGACTCTCGCTGAATTTCAATTTATTTGCCAGCCTTCCAAATGTTAGTATCGCACAGGCATATATATGTTATATGCATATACACACGTATGGATGTTCAGCACCCCGGGGGAGCTTAACATTTCTCCATCACCTAGAAGGCGCAATATGTGGGGGAAGAGGCATATGTCCCTGCCGTTGCCCCCAATTGCGTAACCAATTAGAGACAATTTCCTTAAACCAAGAAGGGTGACCCATTTCGTTTTGCCGCTCTACCGTCTTCTCACCTCGGTAACGTTTAACAAAGAGGCATAAAAATAATAAAATAAAATATTCTGTAGAAAAGCCCGTACAACCCTGGAGCAATTCTTCCTCAAAAAAATAGCAGAACGGGATGTCTGTCTACAGCAACCTCCAATTGTGTCACCCTACAAATGGGCACAAAACACTTCCCCTTTAAAAACGTTGCCAATTGAAAAGTGGTTATCACAATTGTGCGTCCTGTTCTGCCGACGAGGAATCCACTCGAAAAAGCGCAAAAAAAGAAGAAAAAAAAAAAAAAAAAAAGGTAAAAAAAGGACAAAACGGGTAGGAAAAGTAAATGTGGCCACGAACCCCTCTTCTTTACCCCCCTCTTCATGTATGAGCCCACCTCAGTATGCGGGTCTGCACACGAGCAAGTGAACACACACACCACCCCTCCCATATGACCATGCGCTAAAATGCTCCGATGGTCCACTACTTTACGAATATTCCCGAGAACACAGAAACGAAGTTTCACAAACGGAAGGAAAAAGGAAATTATCGTACTCCATCCCATATTAAAGAAAACGAAAGATGGTAGGAAGTCCTTTGACGAAATAATCTATGACGCGCAGGAAGCCTTAGGGTTAGCTCGGTCGGCTGGATTCAAAGTCGCAAATGGAATTTCGATGCCGTTGGGGGGGTGGACATTTTTTGAACACCCAAATGGGTCTAAAGAGGAAGGTGACGGGGATGATTTAGGTAATAGCTACCGTGAGGAAGACACATTCAGGGGATCACGTGAGTCAAACGAGGGGGCAGACACACGGGTAGGTGCCGCCTCCGAGGAGGTGTCTCCTCAGGGCGACGACCTGGAAAAAAAAATTGCAGAGTCAATTATAATAAAAACGAACAGAATAGATAATAAATTTTACTTCGGGAAAGGCAAACTGAATGAGCTGTCCACCTATTTTCTAAAACACCCAACGCCATACGTGTTTATTAACACGCTGCTTTCTCCAGAACAGTTTAGAAATTTGGACATGCTGTTTAACAGCCTGCTGCGGAGCCACCATGATGAGTTGAAGTTGCGTAGGCAGAAGGAGAGGGGAGAAGACTGCCTCTCAGTGAGGGCATCAGAATTTAACGCAGAGGATGATGGTGGCGCGGAAGACGCGAGAGGGGAGGAGCTCGCGTACGTCGACATGTATAACGAATGGATGGAAAGACAGGCGCAGCAGGAGGACCAGGAAGATGGACACCTTAGCTTGGAAGAAGAAGGAGAAGAAGAAGAGGGTGTTGTTTTCGGTGATGATGTAGACGACGGCGATGTGCCGCTCTACGTTGAGCTCTTCGACCGGTATAGCATCATTCTACAGATCCTAAAGAGCAGGGCGAAAAACAATCTGAGCAAAATCCAGCTGGAACTAGCCAGGGCCAACTTCATTTTCAACACCTACGCAGAGGATAACAAGTCAAGAATGAAGTATATAAAATATATTGAAAATAATGTCCTGGGGAAATCAAATTTTGATTACGAGGAAAAATACAACCGACAAAACACCTTCGATGTGGATAGGCAGTTAGGGAAAAAAAAAAATTACGACAGCCTGGGGTACACGAGCAGCTACATAAAGAGCTCAGAGACGTACAAAGAGTATGAAAAGAGAATCATTCAAAATTTGTATGCAAAGCTGAAGAAGGAATTAGCAAAATGCAAAAATAATAATGAGCTACAGAGCAGTGCTAGGAAGCACAAAGCATTAATAGCCGTGGTAGGATATACAAATGTTGGTAAAACAAAATTAATAAATTATTTAACCAATTCTAATTTGAAGGCAAGGAATTTATTATTCCAAACTTTGGATAATGCTTTTAAAAGTGCAAAAATTTGGGATGGCCACTCCAGTATATTTGTCGATTCCATTGGCTTCATTCAAAATATCCCATTCTCCTTGTATGAGTCCTTTAAGGTAACCTTGGAAGCAATTAAGAATGCAGATGTGCTCATTCACGTGATCGATGTGTGTCACCCGTACAGAGAGCAACATAAAAAGTGCGTCATTGATACGTTACTCAAAATAGGCACACCCAGCGATTTTCTAAAATGCAATATGATTGAGGTGTGGAATAAAGTGGACAAATTGGGAGACGAGGAACTCCTCAATTTGTATAAAACTAAGCCAAAGAATGTGTTGCCAATTTCGGCAAGAGTTGGTACAAATTGTGATGTCCTCATTAAAATTATTCAAACGATGATTAACAGAATTAAGGATGTGCAAGTATTGACTCTCCAGTTTCCGGCGATCGAAGCTCAAGAGAGGATAGCATACCTTATGAAAAATTTCAAAGTCGTCCCTAACTCCATTTCCTACTCCAGCGATGGGAACACGACCTTTATCAAGTTGGTGGAGAATCACCGCAACTTGAAGAAGTACTATGAGCGTTTCGACAAGGGTGAAAAGGGAGACCCGCAGGGGGGGGGGAGCACCTAAAGGAGCCGCGTCATGATATGGACAACTGAATAGCGTCGTTCTATTCTGCACACTTCAGGATGATACACACATTGGCTGTATCTTAATAATATCTGCCCCCCTTTTGTGGACCCTCACCCATTTTTAACTCATATTTGAAGGAAAAACCAAATGTGCTGTTATGCAAAAAGAGGGGTTGCAAAATTTTGCCCCCTCAATGGGGCACTTTTTAACCGTCACAACAAGATGCACCGCACGCACATGTTACAATAAGTAAAAAGAAAACATGAGTTTGGGAGGACGCATAATATAATATTTCTAGCCTACACATGACAATTGTTTCGCATGTTCATTTGTCCCTCTTTACTGCGTTACGTAAATTGTACAGGGGGGGAAAAAATTGTGGCGTCACACCTATCATGTCAGTGAATTTTGTTCTTTTTTTCATTTTTTTCGCTGCTACCTATATTTGATCTTTTTTTTAATCCGAACTAACCCCGTTTACTCATTTGAAATTCGCCAATTCAATGCGAAACATCGTGGCAAAAAAATGAAATAATTAAATACGCCAAATGCGTGCTGCTGAAACGGCAAGGGCTAAGAAAACCATTTTGACAAAAAAAAAAAAAAAAGCGCAACGAAATCACTCGCAGTATTTTTTGAAGGCATGTTTTGCCTACTCCCGTTTGTCCCCTTCATTTATACATAACCCGCGTTAACCACGTCCACATTTACACAGTCGCGTGGTCCTATTTGCAAACAGTGCCCATTTTTGCCTCACAAGAATATGCGCTGCTAAACGTGCGTTTGTAAAAGTACGCCCTGGTGCTCGATACAACCACGTCATGGCTGAAGGAAGAAGAAAAAAAAAGGTAGCTTTCCTTGGATAAATAATTCGCATAAGAATAGGAGCAAAACGGATTGGAAGTAAAATTATGTAATGAACTCAAATCGCTACCATGCAACGTGTATGTGGGGTAGAACAAAATGCCTTACAGGAAAGTTAAAAGCGCCCAGTAAATTTTGCTGCCCAACCGCTCGATCTCCCTCACGCAAGCAAGCGGCTTCAACGTTTGCGCCCACGGGGGAAGCACAAATCTGTGGATATATACACAGGGAAAATAAAAAAAAATATGCGTGGGGGCATACACACTTGGAAAAAGTAGTACAAAATTTAAATGTATTGCAAGAGGTTGGTCTACGCACAAAAAAAAAAGAACAGAGAAGGCATCTCACTAAGAAGAAAAACGTAAGTGTATAACGTTCTGGCAGATACAACGCTTAAAAAAATGCAAGGAGGAAATGCCGATAGGAAAAACCGAGAGGACGCCTACATCCATAGGATAAATTTTTCGGAAATAACTGGACACGGCGAAACTGATAAAAGAATTGAGTACCTGTGGAACCTAGCCCTGTCCACTGTGTATGAAAATACAAAACTGTCCATGAAATATATCACTCTAATTAAAAAAATTGCAAAAAATAATATGCTCTTTGACAATATATGCTGCCACTATTGCAACTTAATATATATCCCCTTTTACAACTGTGAAATAAAGCACGTTGCTGGAAAAAATGCAATCCGGTACAGGTGCTTTTTGTGTAAGCGTAAAAAACAACAAACGTTAAGGAACGATAAAAGTCAAGTAAAAAATGCCCCCCTTGAGAATTCCAATGGAATAAATGTCCAAAGTAATTCGCTCAATCGGGACCTTTTTCTTATCAACGAGATAGATGAGTATGCAATAAAAAAGGAAACACCTGGAGACCAAAGCGGGGATGTTAGGGCGGAGGATAGCTTCCAAGAAAATATCCCTTTGGGGGAAGTCACCGCGGAAGACGACTCCTTAGAGAATAATCTCGTGGAGGACCCGGTCCTTTCAGATAACAATCCCACGGATGAACCACTACACGAACCGATTGCCTTTGACAGTATTAAAGATCTCTTCACCATTGATTATGGCACGAGTAGCTACACTGTTAAGAGTGAGGTTTTTCCCCCGATGACCCAAAATAATAGTTGCGGAAGAAATAACAACTTGAAAAATGTTATAACTTCAGGCGAACATAGCAGCGTTGGAAAAAAAAGAAAACATGATGGGAGTATCAAAGGGAAGGAAAAATCAGACAAGGTAAACCAGGCCACCAAAGTAGATGACCTGAGCAATGCCCAAGAAAGGGATGTGCAAAAGAGGCCTCCCAACACGAACAACGTGAACAGCGCAAAGAGGTCAAATGTGATAAACGTAGGAAAAACCACTCCTAAACTTGGCAGCACTGATAACTACTTAAATTTTAATAAACCCAAGAAGAAGAAAAAGAACATATTAGATATCGTGTAGTTGTGTCGGAACGTATTCCCTCTCTTTTTTGTAATTTTATTTATTTATTTTTTTAAATTTGACCCATTCGCTGCTCCGCCTGTTTTTTTTAATTTGTTTTTGTTCTTTTTCGTTCCTTTTTTTGTTCCTTTTTTTCGTGTAACCGAAGAGATGTTTTCTTCCATGTGGCCTTCCCCACCCCTTCCCTTAAGGGGGATACTCGCACAACGGATTAACGAACTGTGCCCCTGTGGGTGCGTCATCCAACCAACTGTGTAACAAAACGGAGCAACACAAAAAAATTAAACGCTTCTACAGCGCTGCTCTGGTTAACAATTATGCTATTCCAAGTGCGTGCTTTTGAAAAATATATATATAAATATAGTGTACTTTGCAAATGTGGCTAATGGGAAAAACGCCCCCTCCACACAATTTAAAGTGCAAAAAAAAGAAACACAAAAAAAGGAAAACCCTATTCTAGAAGCAAATATAAACAGCTTCGACCAACTTTCCCAGCGTCAGGTCATAGCGCAATATTATCATTGGTGGTTAAAGGAATACGCTTATGAAAATAGCGCCCTTAAGGGAATACTCCCCCCCGAAGTTCCTTCCGTACATACATGAAAGTGCAACGCGAGACATTTGGCAAAATCGACAGGAGAAAATAACTCACGGACGCATTGTCACAGGTGGCCTACACCTCCGCACGACATACTCGCGCATCCGTAGATGTGCGCACAATTACAAAGCATACGATCTTGTGCACATAGGTGTACTTCCGTACCTCTGCCCCCCCACCTGCCCCATATGCTCACGATGGCGGAACAGAAACCTATCCTAGGGCTTGGCGCCAAGTACAACATAACCTGGCAGCAAACGATGCTGCGTATTTATGACCCGAAGGAAACGGTCGCCTTTTACGAAAAGAACTTTGGGATGATAAACATCCACACGTACCATTTTGATGAGTACAACTTCTCCCTGTACTTTATGATTACACCTCCGTATGACGAAGAGGAAAGGAAGAAAATCCCGCCACCAAATACAATCGAGTCGGAGAAATACCTTTGGCACTTAAAGACCGTGGCCCTAGAATTAACCCATAATCATAACAGTACGGAAAAGCTAAGCAACGGAAACAATGATAATGATAGGGGATTTGGACACATCGCTTTTAATTGCCATAATGTGGTAGAACTTTGTGATTACCTTTTTAAAGAGAAAAAAGTAAATTTTCACAAATTACCTCATGAAACGAAAATGAAAAGTATTGGCTTTGCACTCGACCCGAATAACTACTGGATTGAAATAGTTAAGCGATCCAGTGAAGTCAAATGGAAAAACAATAAAGAAATTACAAACTTCTCACAAACCATGATTAGGGTTAAGGATCCTGAAAAAAGCTTATATTTCTACTTACACATATTGGGTATGAAATTAGTGCACATTAAACATGCCTCGGATTTCTCTCTATACTTTTTAAAGTCCCCCTATTTGGAAAATAAAAAAGGTGCAGATGTTTCCACAGAAGAGGAAAAGAACAAGGGTTACTTCAATTTTGAAGAGCTAAAGAACAAGTACCAATCTGATGAAGATTATGAAAATTTCAAAACATCGTGGGAACCTGTCCTGGAACTTACCCACAATCATGGGACAGAAAGTGACGACAAATTTGCGTACCATAATGGGAACACCGAGCCCAGAGGATTCGGCCACATTGGCTTTTTGGTCGACGATTTGGTAAACTACTGCCAGGAGTTAGAAAAACTGGGTGTTCCTTTTAAGAAAAAGTTACACGAGGGGCAAATGAACAACATCGCTTTTGTGTACGACCCTGATAATTACCTGGTCGAGTTGATTCAGAGGGGCACGACATTTGGTCGCAACTGAGGGGGAAAATTATACCTACCGGGCACAGCGGTGCGCTGTGACAAGCGGCAAGTATCACTGCTTGCTTCCCTAACGAAGTTCACATAGCAATTGGGGGATAACCGCAAAATTGGCCACTTTCGTGCACTTTTTTTTTTTATATTCTTTTTTGACTCCATTTTGACGAGCCAGTCGCACCCATACACATATACACGTAAACGACCGCAGATGTGCGGAAAGTGGGAACATTCTCTATACACATTTCGCACTGTATAGCCATTTCTGGGCCGCCTAACCCGGTGGTCTATGCATATTGGAAAGAACTCTTTTTATTATGATTCGTTATTTTTTGGGGATACAAAAAGATTTTAATTTGTGTGAAAGGAGGGGGGGAGATGCGGCTCTCTCCGCCTTCGTTTAACAACAACAAAAAAAAAAAAAAAGAAAAAGAAAAAAAAAAGGCAAGTGCCAAGAGTGGCAAAATGTGATTAGGGTAAATATATGGTTATGCATGAATAAAGGTGCGTAGCCAAGGGCAAAGATGGAGACGCTTCAATAGGCAGATAAGGCATACGTTCAGCACAACGATGCTGCCAGGAGAGGGTAACCCACTGGACAGGGTTAAAAGGAAAAAAAAAAAAATATATATATACATATAGAAATAAAGACAAATAAGACATGGACACATTAATAAGATCAAAAAATTGCCTTTCGTGCAATGCGCATTTAAAAATGGAGTAAAATGCACACTGCCCAAGGGGGGAGTTACTCCTGCTCAGGATTTATCGATTTTCCGGAGGGAATACCTAATTAATGCAGATAGAAGGGGCTTGCACGTACAGGCAGGTGTAGGTCCGCCTGCATAAGCGCATTCACAAACGTGCACAAGGGATGTAAGGTGAAAAGGTACAAATGAGGTTGCAAGGAGCGAGGTATAGGCAGGTCCGCACACCTGATGGGCAATTAACGCGTGGAAAAAAATACGCAAAACGGCATACATGATCATATATATGGCCACGTAAATGGCTGCCTCACTCCACGGGGAACTTGTCCCGCAGGGAGGCGTACGCGCTGTAAATGTAGGGGGACGCGTGAAACGAGTGGGCGGGACCATGGAGGGCATTCTTTTGCACATAGGAAGTAATTCCTATGCTGTAAAAACTGAAATAATTTTTATATAAACAAAAATAAAAAATAAAAAATATGGAAAATGTGGAAAAAAAATAAGCAACGAAAATTTCATTGGTGGTATGGAAATATTTCGAAGTAAAATAACTTGTGTAAAGGAAAAAAAAAATAAGAACGTAGTAATAAAACAAAATGAATTTTAATAACAACACACACAATTTTCTGTTGTACTTAAAATGGAAGTAATCCGAGCTGTCCTTCTGATGTCTGATGGTATACTCAATAGCCTTTGTCTCAAGAGATATAATAAACAAGAGAGTGGAAAATAAAATTACGTGATCTGAGTAATCAAAGATATGCATGTGTTCCTCATCTTTGAAGTAGTGAAATTTATAAATAATGTATTGAATTATGGATGGGATAAAATACAGAATGAACAGGCGATACATGATTATTAAAAAATAAATAAAAAATCTCCGAAAGTGTACCAGCGTAATTGGGAAGGGAGAAAAAAATACGTGAATGCATCCCAGAAGAATTATGAAGTAGAGAAATATTCCTTTGTAATAATATCGCAAGATGTTGCTAATTAATTTGTTGTACACATAACATGGGGTGTCGAAAAAATCATCCAAAAAGAAATAAAAAGGAATTGTTTTTAAATTTGCTATGTAGTTTTTGAAACATCCATTTAGGCTCTTCAAATTTGCTATCGTTTTTATTTTATTCCTTATTCTGCTCAGAAAAATGGTGTACCTACTTGTGTTTCGCATTTTCTCCATTTTGTGGTACACTTCGTAGTAACCTTCATACGTTTTTATGTCTTCCAAAATGTGTGCATTGCTTATGTACACGGGCGGATTTTTTTTTTTTTCTTCTTTTTGTTTCACGTTTTTTTGCCCCCCATGGGTGGAGTTAGCCAAAACAGCGCCGTCCACGCATATACCAAAGTACAACGTGTGTAGCATGCTCAGCAGCACTTCGTCCTTCAAGTATTTGCTTATATGTTTTATCAACAGAGTGATGTCTTTCTTCTTCCCCGAGTATTCCTGTCGCTTTTGCTCTTGCGGTTGTGGAGTTCCCCCCCACAAGGCGAAGTCGTGATAGTAGCATATATCATCCAGGTACAGATAAAACAGGGACTCCATATCGACGTAGTACTTTTTCCTATACGAGTTTGTAAGATGCATTGATTTGTGGAATCGGGCGTACGTCGCAGCTACCTCCCCACCAAACTTTACATAATCGCCATTCAACATGTGCTCCGTTTCTACCGCATTGGAGTTATCCAATTCTTTAGCAAACAAGGCGTTCCATATTTCGTTAAAAAAAAAGGTAACAATTTTGAGTACACATTTTTTAGCCCTTAGCATGGCATCGTAAAAATTGGTAAAATGGAATAATTTTTTTTTTTTATTTAAGCATATGAATATTTTTATATCTGCATTCTTCTTCTGTATATTATTCTCCGTCTTTTTGTAATGTTTCCCTCGTGTGAAATAGTATTTAAAATTTAGGGTTTCGTTTGAAAGGTCATTAGTGCAGTTGATTAACTGATCTGGGTTTTCGTGTCTGATGGGCCCTCCTCCCTCTTCAGCCTTTGTGCCATAATGCGCATACCCACAGGACGGCAAATCCTTTATGCTGTTCAGGACCTCGTACAGGTGCTTTTCCCTAACTTGGAAAAGCTTAAAGCTGAAGTTAAATGACCCGATCAGGAGCACAAAAAAAAACAATAGGAAGAGCAGCACTTGGAATAGGACTATACTCTTCGTGCTGATTTTTATCTTTTCCCCTTCCACTCCGTTTGCCTCGCCGTTGCCTTGCGCGTCGCCGTTCTCCTGCGCTCCTCCTTTGCCTTCGTTGCCATCCCTGCTTCCTCTACCTTCTTTCTCGCTGCTGCTCCTCTCTTCCACCGCACCCGCATGACTTCTACCTTGCGCTTTCCGCTGGGTGACCTGGCTCTTGCTGACGGACCCTTCCTTACCATCCATGCTGCGCCCTGGCCACTAACATGTACCTTAAGTACGTACACGCGAGCATTCGTACGTACATGTACTGGTGCATATGTACATGTATGCACATGTGTATAAGTACATACATACGTGCCGATCCTTCCCAGTGTGTGTGTGGGGGGGGAGTTTATATTCGCTTCGCCGGTTACGTGTGCCCATTCCTATGGAGTAACAGGAGCATTACACCCTGGAGTGTTAAGCAGCTCTTCCTACAGGTGCATTTTATTATACAAGGTTGGGATCTTGTCAACGGCGTGTGTATATGGGTTTGTTCGCGGGATGGGCTGCTCTCCCTGGTACATCTCCCTGCTGTTTGCTTCTTCTGCCACTTTGCACCTACTCGCTGTATTCATACGACAAAAACACACGCGCTTCTGGCTAAGTGTTTCAAAATGCTTCGTGCTTGGAGGGCTGGGAGGGAGAAAAACAAAACGTACAAAAAAAGGTATATATTAATCAGAGCAGCAAAAAAAAAAAAAAAAAGAAACTTCTGGCGCGATTGCAAATGAGCAAGCCGATGAGACCCCTGAAAGAATGCGTCACTTGCCGATGGCGCTGCTTCGTATCTCGCTGGCAGAAAAGGAGGAAAAAATGTGCGCGCGAGGTAACATGCCTTGCGCTCAGAGAACGCACCGTTTCGAGGGCTGCCTTGGAAATGCCAATTGGGGGCCTGCACAATTTCGCCTTTATGAACCTTTTATTTTCGCCCATCTCAAATTTGAAGCTTTGTATTCTCCCATTTTTGCGACTTCCCCCCGGGGGATGAGCAGAATTACACCCAGCTGGGCTGTCCGCAGGGAGAAGGGAAATATTGCTTCCCCATCTCTGTGAAGATTACCAAGATACGCGTACCAGAATGTACTTCTCCACCTTTGCAGATATAATGAGGTGCACATACAAAGGCGTCCCCTGCGTATCACGTACCTGGATGTAGCTGTGGTTACCCCGTGTTTATCTCTCCACGGGTGCTTATTAACCATGGAAGGGCAATTTATACCCCTCCCCCAACAATGAATGCCCAAAATGTATAAGTACCCCTTCGGTGTGTAACACATAACATGACAAAAGGGAAAACATTCAAACGGGGAGTGGTTCACATTTGCAGTGTTCATAAGCAAACCTTACTTAGGTAGGGTTACCGGACCGACGCTCACTTTTCACTTCATTGGATGACACAGTGGAAGGGAAGGGAAAAGAGTACACCCATATGGGTACACTCTCCAACGTGTGTGAATGCTCCCTTCTCCGTTTTTATAAAAAGGCCAAGTGATGGACAGAAAGGATAAAGGGAAAAGAGTTCTTTTAAAAATTAGACCAAGTGTAGAAAAAAAAAAAAAAAAAAAGTCCTGACAGCAACTCTGGGGGGTAAAATAATATACCTCTTGTGTGGAATTGCTTCCATGCAGGATGAATCAACTGGGGTTGATAAAAAAAAAAAAAAAAAAGACACGCATGAACGGAGTTAACGCCTTCCTAATACATATATGAAGGTGCACAAGTCGATTGACGCACCGTACACACATGGGAGAAGCTTCGCAAATGCTAATAAAGTAGGAACATGTAGGGGGAGGATGGTTGGTATCCATAATGCAATTTGGAATTTTTAAAATTGGCATAGATTAATAAGTAGTGCACGCTGTGCAGATGGCAACGATAAGAAGGGGCATGGCGTATGTGATGCGTCTAACCCAGAGCTTTGTATTGCCCCTGCACCTCTTTACACGTCGTTGTAGAAGGTGCCCTCGTGAATGGATAGCGTGGGTGGGATGACCAACTCTGGGTGGAAGGACTGGATCTCCTTCAGAAAAATATACCGGAGCTGGGTCTCGGAGAGCATCATCCAGTCATCAAAGGGTAGAATAATCTTACTAGCATGGAAGCTCTCCAAGTTGGTTTTTCTAACGTCCTTGAGGTAGGGGTGACTCAGAGCGTTGTCAATTGTGATCCTATTTTTAGCGTTAAATTTAAGCATAGACTGTAGTAAGTCAATTCCATCCTCCGAAATGGAGGGGAATTTTTTTCTAAAGTCTATTCCGTCTCTGGGTGGAAAGAGCTTAATATACCTGATGACGTCATCCTTCTTGATGCTCTTAAGATCATCTTCCGAGGGGGTTCCTATAACGTTAAAAATGATATTAAGTTGATCTCTGTTGCTTTTTTCATGTACCTTTTTGGAGTTGTGATCAGGAGAGAGGGGAAAACAAGAGGACCCCGGGAATAATGGGAATCGATTTGTAGGGTTATTTACATGACTCTCCAACATGTTTAATAATTCAGCGAATATGCAACCCGTGGACCAAATGTCAATCGAGTTGGTATAATTTTCTTGTAGCAAAATAAGCTCTGGAGCTCTATACCATCTGGTCACCACATGACTCGTTAGTTGTTTCTTCAAATTTTTATTGTGTGGACCTGGTTCTTCATTTTCCTCCTTCTCCTCTAAATCCTGTACAATATGAATATCGTTTTCACAGTTGATAGTTCTTGCTAAGCCAAAGTCGCAAATTTTAACGGAGCAGTCTTGGTTCAAGAGACAGTTAGCTGGCTTTAAATCCCTGTGTATAATTCCTGACTCATGGATATACTTTTCACCTAAGAGTAAATTGTAAAGTATTGTCTTCACATGTTCTTCCGTCAGGTAAATTGGCGTTTTAAAAAGTTTCTTCAGATCTGAATCTGCAATTTCGAGGACGATGTACAGCTCGTCAAACTGTAGCAAATCTTCAGGGATTATCAAATCGTGCAATCCGATTATATAGTTACTTTTTAGCCTATTCAAAATGGTTATTTCTCTTAGAATTCTTTTACAGTCAATTAAGTCTTCGAACATTCTATTGACCTTTTTGATTGCCACATTTTTCTTCGTGCTTCTATCATATGCTAGGTACACGTACCCATAAGACCCCCTTCCTATCAGATGCTTAATTTCGTAGTTGTCTGGCACCTTCACATTCTTTATGATTGCCTCCTTTATGTTGATCTTTTCATCCCCTCCTCCTTTTTCGTCGCTATCTTTTGAAGTGACAACTTTTTGGTCTTTCCCCTTTTCGATTTTCTTCTTCTCCACGAAGGTGCACTGCTTATGTCCCCCTGCCTGTGTCTTCCCCTTCACATGGTCACTGTTTGTTGCCTTATCTTCCCCGTCTGTGGCCTCCGTACTAGTGTTACCTTTTTTCTTCAAGCAAGCTGATTTCGCAATTAAGTTATTTTTTTTTTTGGCATGTTTCTCTTCCCCATCTATGTTCGAAAGCTCCTTTTTCTTTTTGATCATTTTTTTTATTTTTATTTCATGTGCTGTGAACGTCACACGACGTGACACATAAGTACATGCACACATATGTGTAACTGTACAAAATATATGTGTATGCCTTTTCTATATTTATGTGTAGACCTCATCAATAGAGGAGCACAGTGTGTAGACTACGTGTGGAGTTTTTTTTCCTCGCCGGTTGATTAACTGGCGAGGGGCACACCTTTTAACGTCACTACAATTATGTGCAAGGATGGAAATTCATAAAATCTTTACCCCCACCTATAAAAAAAGATTGGCTTAATTTTGGTTGCCCACTATAGAGTTTACGAGAAAAAAAAAAAAAAAAAAAAAAAAGTCCACACTGCTTGTATGGGATAGGCAAGGTAAATATAACACCCTTGAAGCCTAATGTATGCAGGAATGGAAACGTAATGAATGGGCTGCCTTTCCAAAGTTTACACTTTGGGTTTCATGGGCTGGACGCGTATATAGGAAGGGAAAAAAAAAAAAAAAATGCTGTCATATGGAGAGAAAAAAAAAATATAGCATCACCTTTCATCCCCTATCGCTTTTGCTCTATATGCCTTTCTCATTTTTTTTTTTTTTTTTTTTTTTT